AGTGCGTTGTGGAGAAAATTTACGAAGCCACGTGTGCGGGGACTGTTCACCCTGGAAGCGACCTCGTTGAATCCGATCTCCCTGATTTAAGTGCTCGTTGAATCCGGGTTATTTTTATTGATTTTAAAGAAGAAAAAAAACGGGGAATCTATCTTATCTCGTTGAATCCGAGCTCGTTAAATACTACTACTACTACTACTACTACTACTACTACTACTACTACTGCTGCTGCTGCTGCTGCTGCTGCTGCTGCTGCTGCTGCTGCTGCTGCTGCTGCTGCTGCTGCTGCTGCTGCTGTGGCTCTTACTACTATGCAAACGTCGAAAACCCACAGGTAATAGCAAAGAACTACGCGCCTATAAACATACAGCAAAAGCTGTGCCAGATCGGCCAGATGCAAGACTCCTGGCTGAGGAACAAAGCTGATGAGACCTAGGGCTTTTTTTCAAATAGGATAGGAATGACCTGAAAAAACTTTTATAATGGCTTGACAGAAATTTGTTTTGTTTTCACCAAGCTACACCTGCTCAACAAACCAGACGATCCCCCCACTTTTCTTCTCGAGAGCCTTGAAAACCACGTCCCACCCAGACCTGTCGTTTGCCAGCATGCCAGCAGCAACATCAGCACAGGATCAACAAAACAAGTCATGGAACAACTTGCAACTAGTGACCACAAACCCATCTTAATCACCAGCCAAGTCTCTCCCCCCACCGTATCAACTAGCACCTTGCCCAAATGGAACTACAAGAAGGCAGACTGGACCAAATTTGCATCTCTTACAAATGTATATATATACCACCCAAATTCATGTCAAAACCTCAGACACCAACAGAAGTGCGAAGGAGTTCTCACAGGCCATACTGCAAGCGGCAAAAGAGGCCATCCCTAGAGGAACTAGAAGTAGAAGGGACTATGTTCCAACTTGGTCTGAAGAGCTCAGAATGCTTAACAACAAAGTCACCACAGCAAGAGAAGCAGTTGAATATCTACCAACAACAGAAAACAACATTCAAATAAAGAAAGCTGCAGCGGAATTTAAGAAGGCAACTAATTCAGCCGTTCGGAAAAGTTGGCATGAAAAGACAAGCTCCCTAAACTTACACAGACAAGGAAACAAACTTTGGAGGATTGTCAGATCATTAAATGGAGAAAACCTAAACAGGGATACACAGCAACTTACTCAGAGATGACACCTCCAGGTATCCAGGTAATGGGTTATTTATGAGGCGAGACCTTTAAGTTTAAAATTCATCTTGGAAAGGAACCAACCAAATAAAAATCGTTCAATTTGCCTTTTCTAAGAACACAATGTAGGACCAAGCTGAGGCTCGAACTCCAAATCCGAAATCTCACGATTACGGGTCTGGTAGCCTGACTACTACTTGACTACCAACGCCACCTTCTTTCTCTCAGCCTTGACCTGGCAAGATCAATACCCCAGTTTTATTCAGCCTGTGGGAACATGATCACTGAGGCTTCAGGATCATACAAAAAATTTCATTCTCCTTGTAGTTGTAGGAGAACCACCTGGTTAGATATATGCTGTTGTCATAGTGAATAACATAGACGCCTAAACAGTACTAAACACCCAGACCAATCAGACCGCTTTTCGAGTTATGTCACTAAAGTGTCGTTGGGTCTTCACGGTGAGACGTTTTTTTTTGGGGGGGGGGGGGAGGGGGGGGGTTCTTTTCTATTTTACTTTCATTGAATATTTTTTGCTTAGATTTTAGTCAGCAGAAGAAACTTTTTATTGAAGAAGTTCAGGTGGGGCTGGAGCTGCTAGCCCCACCCCATCAGACGCCACTGGACTTGTCGTGACGTCCTGATCCAACGTTTTCAAGAATGAAGGCATACATTACCCTTATGAATCTGACCTCTTTCCGCTTTCCCAGCAACAAACTATCATTCTTGTCGAAATAGCAAACGTTCCACCGAAACATTGGAAGAAGAGAATTTGCTCAGTTCCCTAGCTTGACAGAGAAGGGCGGGTTTCTGACGAGGAACTAGAAATATAAACCAACCACGTCAGAGATTTACATGCTGATATGATCGCGAAGACAAGGTTTACTGATATCTTTTAACTGGAAATTCCAGACTTGGTACTGGACCCACTCAACACTGGAACAGATGGTGACTTGACAGTGGCAATTGAAGAAGAGCTTCTGGCATTGAAAAGTGACTTTGAAATCTAACCATAGTTCAAAAAGTCGTACCAGTAATACTGGTTGAAAACTGTTGTGCAAGACAATTATCCCTCTCTGTGTGAAAAGATCAAGTTGTTGTTCATCGCTTTTCCCAAATCCTGTCTAGTAGAAAGGGGATTCTGTGCAGTGACAAGGTTGCTGACGAAGCAGAGGAAAAAACTAAGGATCACAGAGCGTTGCGATTTACGTGTGCGACTGACCAATCTGAAACCTGATGTTGATAAGTTGGTTTCGTCTCACCCGGTCCGTACTTCCCATTAGGGCAGTGTCAATGACTTATTATGCTTACTCTGTAGTTTATCCTTACTTGATACCTGAATACGTCTTTTCTTTTTTTGCTTTTCTTTCTTCTTTTTCTAAAGCAAAATACTCACTTATTTAATAGAGTTTTTTATGTGCTCGTGTTGCCACTGCTGATGAAACTGATGATGATGATGACGACGATGATTACGACGATGGTGATAATTACAGACTAAGATCCATGCATACTTTTTTTCTTTCGAGTGGTTTCCCACATTTGAACAGCTTAACAATATTTTTATGTTCTACAATGGAGATATTCGATATACAAATATCAGGCAACTTTATTGCAGCACCTTGATGGGAGAAAACGTTTCATAAAAATACAGTGGAAACCATATATAACAGGTCCGGTAATAACAGGGATCCATTTATAGCAGGGATTTTTAAAATCCCCGTTTTTTCTTACTCTTTGTCTCTTTTAAAAGTTATCGGCAATAACAGGGCCTCATCAGAGCCCAACCGGTTATAGCAGGGACAAAGGCTCGTTAACAATGTACAAAAAGTAAGAGAGAGAGAGAGAGAGAGAGAGAGAGAGAGAGAGAGAGAGAGAGAGAGAGAGAGAGAGAGGGGGGGGGGTAACGCAGTGATGGAGCAAGCCCACACAGGCCATGCCACTGCAAGCACACACAGCGTGTGAAGCGAGAGAGGGCTGCGGTGTGCTGTAGACCTCGATCTAGCCCGAAACATAGCAACACGCACGCGTAATGTGTCACCAACGATGTCATGCACATGAGAAAATGCCTTTCAATTGACAAAAAATTCGAAATAATCCAGGCTGTTGACAAAAAGTAAGCTCCACTGGCAGAGATTTGTCGTCAGTTCGACATTCCACAAGGGTCGATTCTCATCATTATAGAGGATAGAGAGAAGATAGTGGCAGCATACTCCAATGGAAAGTTTGCTCTGGATCGAAAGAAGATGAGACTACCCGATGCAGATGCTGTGGACCAAGCTCTTCTCACGGCGTCCGAACACCGCTCTTTTAGTTGGCTCGG